TGGTGAAAAAACTTGAGGAAAAGTTTTTGAATCCAGTCATTATTCTAACATTTTTTTGTTCATTTCTACAAGTATGAAAAAATATTTATCAATTAAACTCTAGTAATTTTAACATTGGTGCATTTGTTAACGYAGATGTCAAATGCTATTTTAATTTTGAATTTGTTAAGACCTAAACCAAAACCAAGAAGATACCACATTGCTTATAGAAGAACTTAATATAGCACATAATAAAATTGTTTGCATAAATATTTAACTAAAAATATTCATGAAGGAGACCAGCGTATATTATATAGAATAGGAGAAAGAAAGCTACCTTGTAGTCTTCTTTACAAATATTCACAATGTCATAAATTGAAAAGCCAAACCTGACTTGAAAGTTTCTGATTGTGAGGAATGATTTAATCGGAAAATAGTATATATGCCAAAAAATAATTAGTTTACAAAGTAGTTTATTGATCCCAAATGTTTGTGATATAATGAAACATGCAAGACCAGTATTTTTTCTCTCTTCAAATTTTAACAGATAAAAAATAACATATACATAGCTGTGATAGAACTTTCTAAAAATATTAATTATCCTATGAATTTAATAAAATTATTACATTTAATAATTCAATCTTATAATAATAATAATAATTACAATTTACAGTAGTTTTCAGTCAATTTAGCTTTTGTAATCTTTTAAGAAAGATTATAAAATAACTCCTTAAAGTAAGTAGGTAATATTACAAAGATGTTATTATTTGCCAGTGGTAGATTAGTGAATTATGTTTGAACTTCAATTTATATTTTTGTCCCTTACAATTTCCAAACATCTTGTAGCAAATTCTTCAAATATAGGCTCAACCATAGCTTTTTCTAATTCTTCGTTGGGATTAGTACTGTTGTCTATTTTTTCCAATATTTTTTGTAAATAAGAATCAGATACTAATTCTTTTAGACGATTGTCATAACCTAAAAACATAAAAATAATAATATATCAATAGTACAATAAGTAAGATATCCAGTAAATAGAGTATAAATATAAATGTCAAAAATAAGGTACTTTGAATAATTTTAAATGGGTACACCTAAATTTAAGCTAGGAATATTAAGTATATGACTAAACCCTAAATATTAACAAGAATTAGATTAATATTATATTAAATCATACATACAAAGTAAATTCAATTTTTCAGATGGGATTGTGTCTTCAGTCGGATACAGTTGTACATTTTTTAATATTTCATTTGAAACTTCTTGGTTGTTCATTGTACAATCACCTGATAAATGATTTTGGTAACATGCAACAGAACAACTGTAAAATAAGAAATTGTTTTAAGGTTAAACAAGTTTTAGAAAATTATATCAATTATTACTAAAGCTTATAATCATATTTTTAATTTACACTATTATCAAATATTTTAACAAAACCATAAAAAAATTATCTGTTCAACTAGATTCTATAGATTAAAATATCAAATTGTAAAAATATAAATTTAAAAAATCCGAAAAATTGTTCTAAAAAAATAATAAAAATACCTATGTAGATAATAAAAACTCCACATACTTATTATCGTATACACATTTCAACATTTGTATCAAATTAGATATTAGAATACACTAATTTTTTTAAATATGGATTACATGAAGTTCCAAGCAAATATAAATAATATAAAAGCAAGCACCTATATTATACACATAATATAGTAACATACTATATATTGAACACAGTTTAAAATACATTTGTATACACAGTGAGCTTTTATTATATTTCAGTCCCGATATAAATTTATTAAAATTATTTTGATTTGGATTTTTAACTGAATACTGTTTTACCTATTATAGTAGGTATCCCTCAAATATTTTCATAACAATTGTTTGATATTCCATGGGTAAATTGGTAATCTTACCCAAAAATCAACGAATTACATATAATAGATGAGAACATTTTATAGAATTATTTGACACTTACTACTTGACGTTTCTGCATTTTGGACATTTATACTTGGATTCATTAATTTCGCAAATATGACACTTCATTACAATAAATTTTACGCTTGAAGAAAAAGTATTTTAAATTTATCAGTTTAAAGTTGGTATTTCAAATATTAAATAAAATCAAAAACTAATAACGTAAGATATACTTATAGAGGTATAATAAATTAGATGTTTTCTTGAATTAAATTTAATCTAAAAAAAAAAAACGTGTTTACTGTTTAACTTGTTAGTTGTTACCACGAATTAAAATATACTGGATACCCAACGATACATGATAAGGCGCTCCTAAACTGACTTTCAATGTGCAAAGGTGCACTAGCGCTCCAAGGGAATTAAA